CTGGTTTATGTGTAACTTCTGTCCCTACTGTGTGTTTTATCATGGAGTTTAGTGTGTGTTAATTATTTAGAAAGGACAGTGGTCATGAATGGAGGCTGGGGGGGAGGGGAGGGGCATGGCAAGCTCCTGAATGTGCTGTCAGCAGTGGGAGCATGATGGTGGTGAGCAGAGAGCTCCCGTAGGCGGCCACAGTGCTGTTGGCGGCAGGGAGGGGGTGGCAAGCACTGACCAGCAGTCAGCGACCACCCACAGACACCACTAGCAGCATCAGTGGCGGCCAGAGGTGATTGGGGACCACTTGCAGATGCCACCAGTGGTGTCGGCAGCAGCAGGGAGGGTGGGAGGAGGGCGGTGAGTGGCAACTGCCCGCAGGAGGTGCACCGCCAATCTCAGGGGGCGCATGTGCACCCACATGCATCCCCTATGCATCACCAATGACTATGGTTTTAGTTCAGTGGGTCAAACAGTGGAAACAGAGCAGTATTATTGGCCTCATCTGTTCCCTACAGGGATCTTTTCATTGTCCAATCAATTATGTCTTCCTCAACCTCATCCCTGTCTTCACAGACTGGCAGTTGTCAGCTGAGTGTTTGACTGCTCATTTGTCTCTTCACATGCTGGCTAAGATTGGAGGATGCTGGGCACTGGTCTTTAGACAGAGTCTAAGCTAGTAGGGTACTGGTTCTTCCAGTCACAATTACAGTCAGATAATTTTGTGCAAGCCCCATGGAAAACCTGCCCGCTGGAGAAATCTCACTTAGGAGGGTCATGGAATAGGAGCAGGGCACATGCATGTGTGTGTAAGAAGAGTGGAGTGAGAAAAGCTGGAGAGCTCTTCCCCAGCAGACAATAGGCCCAAGGCTCCCAAAGCCACTACTGGAGGAGCAGCCTTGGGAGCGGTGCAAGACCTCTTGGGCTGTGTATGGCACCCAGGGACGGTGCATGGAGTCTGGGCCCTGGGAGCGGTATGAGATCGCTGAGGGCCAATCACGGTGCACAGTTCATAGTTTCATAGTTTCTAGGGTCGGAAGGGACCTGAGCTGATCATCAAGTCCGACCCCCTGCCATGGCAGGAAAGAGTACTGGGGTCAAATGACCCCAGCAAGGCGTTCATCTAACCTCCTCTTAAAGACCCCCAGGGTAGGAGCCAGCACCACTTCTCTTGGAAGTTGGTTCCAGATCCTAGCTGCCCTGACAGTGATGTAGCGCCTCCTGATATCTAGTCTGAATCTACCCTCTGCCAGTTTGTGACCATTATTCCTGGTCACTCCTGGGAGTGCTCGGGGGAACAGGGACTCCCCCAATGCCTGCTGGTCCCCCCTGACTAGTTTGTAACAGGCCACTAGATCCCCCCTCAGCCTTCTCTTTTGGAGGCTGAACAGGTTCAGGTCCTGTAGCCTCTCCTCGTGGGGCCTGCCCTGCTGCCCCCTGA